CTTGGTGTGTGGGCTCTCCTACACCTGTGATTATTGGTCTCAACAAGTTTCAAGCGAAGCAGAAGAAAGATATTCACCTGTGGAACTTCAAACAAGCAAGCACTTAGCCTCCCCAACTCCGGTGCCCGCAAAGCAAGTAATAATAAACACAGCATCTTTAATGTAGCAGACTTTCCATTCCCACCCTCACCCTAGGCATCTGCACACACAAATCAAAACCCTCTTAAGTCACGGAATGAAAAAGTGAAAAAAATAAAAGCAAACAAAAAGGGCTTCCTGTGGGGTGAATGGAAATTTCTGCCCAGTTTGTTTTCCAGGCACATGAAGAGTAGTTCTGAATAATCAAAACCACAAGTAATTGTATTCTGAACCGAGATTTTTGAGACAAGGAGGAAAGGGAAGGATCCCTTAGAAGGGTCTTTGACATAAGGCTCCTTCTACAAGGCTCCATCTACATAGACACAGGCCCTGCTCTACTTCAACATCAGTTTCAAACAGATCCCTATCAAACAAAAACACGCATATCCAATTGAACTAAAGCGAACTCAACCATAATTTGTGTAACTTTTCTCCCCCAAGATAGAATCATTGCACCTAAATTTTATTAGGAAATCTCTTTTACATTCAGATATTTGGGAGCTTCATCTAGGAACTAAGTGCCCTTCTTCCACCAAAATCTGAGGCCAAAAAATCATGTCACCAGTAATTTCTGGCCAGATAAATGAAGGCTCGCCTGTGAGTATAAGAGCATGGAATTCACTGAGTTCCATTGTCTGTGTTTGACCTGGCTCCATCACTTAGCAGCTGTGTGATCCTGAGCTACTATTTAATCTCTCTAAATCTCAGTTTCCTCATCTGGGAAATGGGAATAATGACGAGATTTACTTCAGAGAGTAGCTGTGAGAACTGAATGAGACAATTCATGTGAAGCGCGGTACCTGGCACACAGTACATACTCAGTAAATGTTCATTAGTAGATTCCCTCCCACATTTTCCTCTGCATAACTGCAGCCAAGCTCTAGAATTTGTAGCAGCTTTTATCAAATGAAGTAAAATCTCTTTATTCTCAGGTCCAGAGCTAGGCCACAACTAGGTTAGAAAAAGTCAGTTATTCTCTACTGCCTGTCTTTGCTGGGAAAGGACTCCAGTATAATGTCAGTGGGACTCTTGATGCTGTCAGGGCAGAGTAGAAGGGAAAGGAAGGAAATACGGGTAGCAGGTTCCCAGGGGACCTCGTGACCCAGTCTGTACTGCTCAGGTTCTACACTTCAAATGGTTTCTTTCACATCCACTATGGAGGCCCAGGAGCCCTAAAAAAGTTACCTGGTAAGCCTCAGAAGCTTGGAAATCACTGCAGGATCAGTCTCCTACCTTACCTTTGGAAGCCCTTGACTCTCCAGTATCTTTAATTGCTTTTTTATGGACCATCCTGGATTCTGCTTCAGAGCCTGGACATTTTGGACTGACATCTTGGTTGCCCTGCCCAGCTGATTCCAGCTTCTCACCTAGATGTCAGCTCTGCAGGCTGAGAATCTATCCTGCCCTGTTACTCCCCAGAAACCCAGCCTGGATCCAGCATTCTGGAAGCCAGTTCAGACCTCTGAGCGGTAGGCTCAGCAGGCCTTGGCATGACTGGTTTCACCTGCTTGGTTAAGAGTGAGGACTCTGGAGCCACACACTCCAAATCCAAGCACTGCCACTTACTAACTAAGTGACTCGGGCCAGGTAACTTACCACTCTGTGCCTCAGTTTTCCTCATCTGTACAATGGGGAGACTAGCAGTCCCCATCTCATAGGATGGTTAAGAGGATTAAATGAATTAATACATGTATAAGACATCATATAAACATATACAAATAATCCACCTACATAAATGTGAAACAATATAAATATAATATTAGCTATATTCACATATTTTATACATATTATTTTACATTTAACTTTATGTATGCTTTACATTAACATGTATTATTTCATGTAAAACATTTATATACATATAAACATAATTATTTATATTATTATTACTGTTGTTTTTGTCTACTCTATCTCCCTGCATGGATAGAGAGACCATGGGTAGGCTCTTCAGCTTTCTTGCTTTCATCTGAGGCTATAGATGTAGAATCCCTGATTTCTACAGACTCTGCTGTACTATGTAAGGCAAGGTTTAAGTTAGATTAAAACCAACTCTAACACTTGGAAAATTACCATCTACAATGAATGCCATGTAAATATTCTTTCCTAGATTCCTATGTTGCTCTTCTTTCAGTATCATCATTTTAAGTTCTGTTGCAATTGCTTTTATTTCTTGACTTATTTCAAAGGCTTTCTCTCTCTGGAGCACATAGCATAAGATAGAAATGTGTCAAAATACATGCTATTTATCATGTGGTTAATTTTAGATCATGTTATGCCCAAAACTATAGATTCAGAGGAATAGGGTGGTTCTGAAAAGAATAGGCATTGTCTCTTTCACTTCTTTTCATGGAACTGAAATGAGGGTAAAGTTTTCCTCTGTCTTCAAAATCATTAATAATCCATGGATTAAGCTTCACCTCCATGAGCAATAATGCCATATAGCCACTGACATCAATTAAGAGACATCACCCTGCCTTGATGGTAAGTGTGACACTACATTAACCCCAAAAAAACCCACTTCCTTTCCAGCAAACAGAAAACAGCAGAGGACATGAATTCACTGGCAGCTTTAAGCACTGAAGGAGAAAATTGTGTTTGTTTCTGGCAAACATGAAGTTAGATCTCTGGTATTTCTTTCTCTTCTGCTTCCAAGTTGAAGTTCTAACAGGTAAGTGACCTACTGAATATTTATTATTAAGTTATAATTCAAGTGAACATTAAGAAAAACCAATTGGAAAAGTTAGGCACCAAATAGAAAGGTTTTTTTTGTTTGTTTGTTTTCAGAGAAGAGCCCAAGTCCATGGCCAAGGGCGTTTATGTCACTGTTTTAAGATGAAGAAAAATGCCTCGTTGGATCATTAAAACTTTAAATTACCTGCTTGAAGTTACTTTTTAGTGGATAAAGTAGAAGAGTGACTTACTGTTCTCAGAGAGAGATGAAAGGCAAAATGACTTGTGTCAACAGAATGAAAATTAAGTAGTCCTGGCATTTGGACTGGGGATTCTTTCTGAAGGAGAAAATAAGATGGAAGGGCTTTGAAAAGAAGGATTTCGATTTTAATCTTATCTGGGTGGTCTTTTGTCAGAAACGCCCTGGCTGCCACAGAGTTTTTTTTGACACTAATGTCAAGGTCCTTCTAAAAGGCTACGGAGTAGTGGATGATGTAAAAACACTCCCTAGCCTCTGTAGACATTAAAAAAATCATTCTGAAGTCCTCAATTCTTTCTCTTACATGGTATATATCACACTCTACTTGAATACTTTAAATAATGTTACCTACAATGAAATTAATATGTATTTCTACTGCTTCTTACTTGGTACATTTTCTATTATTTTTGTTTCATCTTTAAGTCTGAGCCTCATGTTCTTGAGGCTGAGAAAAAGCAAAGTGAAATTATATTACCTTGGGAAGTTCTACTCACACTAAAAGTGCAGACAGAAGTTTTAGTAGGTGTAAATTTATTTAGAAATAAGTTTTGCAGTGGTACCAAAAATAGACTTTATTTTTCTTTCCAAAGAATTAAAAAACAAAAATGTATTGGTCAAATATTTGATCCTGTGGTAGCTCAAGGTGGCTCCAATGCTCTTAAATAAAGAGGAAAGAGGAATGAGGAATTAGAATCTACTTAAGGTCCCAAGGGCAGTTTGGGGCCACTTGCTTGTGAAACTATGGCTTTTATACAACCCAATGAAATCCTTTAGCTGCATGAGCAACAAAGGAATAGCTTTGGAATTGATAACCATTCATTCATTCACTCATCCATTCTTTCAGCACCAAGCACTTGCCATGCAGGGGGTACTGTGCCAGCTGATGTGTGTACAATGATAAGCAAAACCAGGTCAGCCCCTGCTCTCATGAAGCTAATTGAATGGCTGGGAGAGAGACATTAATGAAATAATCCCATGAATGAATGACAATTACAGGCAGAACTCAGTTCTGTCAGAGGATGTAACAAAGAAACCTGCATAGACTGGTGGGTGTGGAGGTGTGGTTGGGGGATGGGTTCATCCAAGTCTTTCTTGTGGAAGTGGCACTTGAGCTAAGCCTTGGGGGACAAATAGGAATAAATGGGGAGAATGGTGGGATGGTGGGTAAGAACATCCCATATCATGAAAAGAGTAAGTGCAAAGGACCTGTCGCAGGAAGGCATGAAGTAAGTCAGGAAGCTGGAAGAAAGTGGATGTGCCTGAGTACAGAGAGGAAAGGGGTTGGGGATGGTGCAAGATAAGGCAGGAAAGGAAAGCAGAGACCAGACCATTCAGACCATATGCACCGTGTGAAGGACTGTGGATTTTCTTCCAAGAACATTGGTTCAAGTCATTGAAGGGTTTGTACTGCTAAAAAGCAACCAATATGCCAAACCCATTTAGGCACTTATGGTGGTGATATTATGCTCAGGAGATTTGAATTAGCAATGGTGTTACCACTGTGGAAGGACTGATCCAGCCTAGGTGGAATTATTTCTAGTTGGCAGATTAAGCTGATGAATGAACTATACTTCTGGAATGATATTTATCTTGGATTCTGATGGAATAAAACCAACATTCCCCCTCATCAACAGAAAACCATGCCATGGGCAAGCTGTTATCCTATTTGACAGGTGGCAAAACTGGCACACAAATGGCTAGATGGAGATAGTAAACTGCTTGAACAATCTTCATATTCAAAATATCACCATAATGCATGTATCCAGCAACTACCATTTTAAAGGCTCTAAATGCAAAGTAAAGAACCAAACTGAAGTCAACTAAGCTCGTGCAGATCCTTTCCTTTGGCATATTTTTAATCCTCCCAACTATGTAGGCCTTCTCATCCCATGAAGAGGTAGGCATTCTTACTTTCAGTTAATGTTTGAAGAATCTCAGACCAGGAAAGGCTAAGTGTTTGGTTACCTAGTAATCAGTGGCAGAACCAAGATTAGAATTCAAATATGTCTGATTCCAATATCCACATTCTTTCCACACCATGTTGAAGTAGTGGAGATATAACATGAATCTCAAAGGAGAGAAATTCTCATCAGTTTTGTTATTCGGTTGGTGAGTTAAGAGGAAAGAAATCTTGGTGATTCTCAGTCTTCTATTGATCTCAGTGTAAAACTTAGCAAAGTCATCTTCTTTTAATGACTCTGGAACAATAGGAGGCTCTTAATTGTAAAAGGATCTGAGAAAAATGAGACACTCTGTCTGCATTTAGAAGACACTCTTTCTAGACATTATGGGCAATGGAGACCACATGGGTGACCTGATGAATTCTGGTTTGGGAAAGACCACTTTAAAAGCAGTGGAGTGGGAATGACCAAGGTTGGGTGGTGTTTAATAAATGTGCATGTCTAATAATATGTTCAGGGTGGAAGCTGGAAGGGTAACCCTCAGGCTCATTTTGAGCCTTGATTTTGTCACCCAGGCATTGAAGCAGTGATTCCTGAACTCCATCGCCTCCAAAAACAACAGCCCTTTGGCGCTTCCAGCAACTGCCCCTCCCCAGAGCTCAGGGAGAGTCCTGCGGAGCTGAGTTGACATTTAAGCCCCTCCCAGCACCTCCTTCCAGTGTTCATGCTGAATTTTTAAAATCCACATTGTCCATCTTTTCTTTCAATAGATGAATTCAGGGCATTCTCACTCAGCACAAGAAGCCTATATTGATTTCACTCCTTCAATATTATTTCTATTTTCCTTGGTTGTGGTATTCTCTTTTATTTTTGTTGGTATGAGGAAGTTTCTTTTAACTCCCCTCTTTCCCTCTGTAATTTGGAAGGTTGACCACACGTCCTAGTTGACTAATTCATTATCATGTTCAGAGCAGCTTAATTGAATATCATTTATTATTGTAATAAAGTAAATAATGACAGTAGCCTTGCTTGACGTGTTTACCCCACCTCCCATGCCCCACAGTGACGTGAGAACTTTGGAATGTTCTCTTTTCACTCTCTTGCTTTCCCCTTAGTGAACCCCTGCCCCATACATGGGTTTTGTTGAAATAACTGAAAACTTGTAGTTGCAGATCATTGCTAAATTTCCTCTGACAGTGTTTCTCTTCTGGTTCAAGAACTCTTTACACTCACTTCACCTTTTTTCAGCGGCAGCATCACTCTTGCCATCTGCTCCTGTCTTGTCATCCTTGTTCCTATCCAATGATCAGAAGACTTCCATTATTTTCTTCAGATACCTCAAACTCTGAATTCCAGCATGGGTAAAGATGTCTTCCTTTACTCTGATGGGTGACTAACATCTTTTCTGGGAGTAGGATTCCTGGATTGCACTCTTTTAATAGTCTCTGGGTATTCACTTGCTGTATGCTGGCTTCTAGGGTTGCACGTGAGTAGTTCCATGTTAGTCTGCCTCTCATTACTTTCCAAGTAGATTACAAAGTATCACTAGAATCTTGTTATTCATTTCAACAAGCGAATTCGGGAATTCCACTAGGATATGCCTAATTCTGTGAGTGTTTCCATTAACATTGCTTGAGATTGAGTGAGCCTTTTCAATCTGCAGACTTCAGGTGTTTTGGGGTTTTTTTAATTTCGGGGATATTTTCTCCCAGTAATTGTTTAGTTATTTCTTTGTCTTTTTTCCTTCTTTTTAGACATGCCTATTATTTTTATGTAAGATCTCGAGATCCTTGTTTTTTCATCATTAGTGAGCAAAATGAACTTCATAACTTGCCATGGCTGTTAACAACTCCCTCAGATGAAATGGAATATTGTAGTTTTAAAATTGCTAGCAGCATATTCCCATTCTTGGTAGAAACAAAATGTAGGTGTGTAGGGAGGACCTCAATTCTCATCTGAGCTTTGCTCACTGTGTATCCATAGACTTGTTTGACGTAAAAAATAATTGGCCTCAGTATTCACAGTTGTAAACTGAGCAAAACCCACAGCTTATGCTGTCTCCCTGTCCTAAGAATATAAGTTTTATACATAAAAAGATGTACTGGGCTTTGCAAATTCAAAGCCCAGTATATACATACACATACATATACATATATAAATATATATGTATACACACACACACACACACATATATATACCAATCATTTGTAGCCTTCAATACCCAAAGAAAAGAGCCCGTTTACTCCATAAATGGCATCTCTGTGCTACTGCTCTTCTAATAAATTGAGTCTACTAAATGACACGTTTTCGTCATTCTAAGTAAAATAAGAATGTGGCATTCAATACCTTTTCAGGAAAATTCAGAATTATACTTTGGAAAGTGGAACTTAAATATGTAGAAAACATGTAACACAAATGAAAGCTGTTGGTCAACAAGAAATTTTTTTCCAGTTTGGCCTGTATGGTCGATTGAAACAGACTGAGATTGGCAAGTTTAAAAAGAGAGTCAGAAATTGGGCTACGAACCTCCTCTGGCTCTCGTATAACATACTGATGGCTGCATCTACTTTGCATGAGGAAAAGCTAAGAAGAAGCAGTTTGTCTTTAAAGGAAGGTGATGGACTCAAGAATTTTGAGTCAGTCAACCACTAATTCTGAAAGAGTCTTTTGTTTTTCTGAGTGTGTTGCCATAGACATGGTACTTCCAACAAGCAACAAAGAATCACTTAAATGGAACCTTTTTGAATATGAGAAATCAAACTTTTTTTTAAAATTAAGGGTACTTTAATTAATTTATTTATTTATTTTTGGCTGTGTTGGGTCTTCGTTTCTGTGCGAGGGCTTTCTCTAGTTGTGGCAAGTAGGGGCTACTCTTCATCGCGGTGCGCGGGCCTCTCACTGTCATGGCCTCTCTTGTTGTGGAGCACAGGCTCCAGACGCGCAGGCTCAGTAGTTGTGGCTCACGGGCCTAGTTGCTCCGCGGCATGTGGGATCTTCCCAGACCAGGGATCGAACCCGTGTCCCCTGCATTAGCAGGCAGATTCTCAACCACTGCGCCACCAGGGAAGCCCCAGAAATCAAACTTTTATAGCCAACATTTACACTCTCCTAGGGCTTAGCACGGAAAAAAGTTCATTCATGAAAAAAACAAGAAACAAAACCTCTACTGCACTCCCAATTCAAGTTTTGTTCATTTTGTACTAAGACAAGCAAAATCTCCTAGTAGTTCCTGTTTGCTCTCATTTAACTATAATAGAGTTTCTTGTAGATGTCAATACATCTTTTTACATTTCTACAGGCAGATAATTTACAGAATACTTATCAAGAATTTAGATCCCATCAGAGCAAGGACCCAGACTTTGTTGCAGGTTTAAGTACACAGGGCAGCTCAACACACAATGATCCATGAATGAGGCTGTCTAGGGAAACAGGTATGTTAAACAACGCATTTTCACATCAAATAAATAATTTTTATATGTTTTTTGGTGCCTAATAACATTTTCAGTCATAGAATACATATGTGGCACCAATGTAAATACTACTTTAAGTATTTGGGACAATTATACACCCAATACATCTTGAAGGAAAAGAAATACTTGAAAATAACTTCCAAATCTAGCTTAATGTTAAAAGCTTCTTTTTCTTTTTCTTCTCTTTTCTTAGCAAGTCTCTTTAGCTTCTGTGCTTCAGCTTCTATAAAATTAAGGGGTTGGACTAGATCATTGGACTAAGTGGCTCCTTAGAAATGTGGACTCTGATGTCAAATTGTCTAGGTTCAAATCATGGCTCCACCACATTTTGCCTCTATGACCTGGGGCCAGTTACTCAAGCCTCGGTTTCCTCATCTGTAAAATAGGAATAAAAATAGAAAATCTGATGTCAAATGTTGTTATGAACATCAAATGATATATTGCATGTAATGAATTGGAAACCTTAATACATGGGAAACATGCAATGCTTGTAAGTTGCAATTATTATTATTATTTGGAAGTTTTTGAAAGCTTAGATGTTTATATAACTCCAGAACTATTGGGCTTCAGACAATTGGTTGGGCATCATTCAGTGTGAGACTTTGCCTTTGGACTTGGAAACAAGCATCCTCCATTATCCGGTAAATTGGATCCCCTGCTCTGTTTTTCTTGCTCACCTCCTCACCTCGTTGCAGGACATTTACCAACCATGCTCAGCTTCGATATTCTTCTATTCATTCATTCATTTATTATTATTGAGCATCTAATATATTCCAGGTCCTAGGATTATTTGTGACCATGATCCAGTCTTTATCCTTGTGAAGTTTATGTTTATATGAGGAAGACAGACAAAAATAATTATGATCTAAGCTTATACACATTATAAATATATTGGTATAAACAAAGCTTTATTGAAATCATTGAGATAGGAGTCTTTGTCTGGGGGTCTCAGGGACAAAGCGGTTCTTTAAAGTGGTTCTTAAAGAATGAATGAGGATTTCTAAGCAAATAAAGGGGTAATGGGATATTCTAGTCTATGGGGACAGAAGTAACAATGAGAAAGTAATGGCCAAAAAGTATGGCGTAGCTTGAAGCTATATGGTCCCTGAGATTGTGAAAGGATTTTGTGTCATTCCAAGAAAATTGATTTATTTTTTTACCTCATAAGCAAGAAGGTAGTGAATATTTTCAAACTGGGCAGTGAAATGCTTTTTAGAAACACAATTTTGCAAGCAGCATGGAGAATGGATTTGGAGGGAGAGACTGCTGTTGAGAAGGCCAGTCAAGAAGATGCTTCCACAGATGAAGGAAGATGTGAAAAAGTCCTAGTTTGGCAATAGGAATGGGGAAAAACCATCCATGAGCTAGAGTCAACTGGACTTGGTGACCAATTGGATCAGGACAGTCAGAGAGAGGGAGTAATGAGGAAGACTCTGAGGTCCTGATGCCTTAAAGGACAGGACTTGGGTTAGGTGAGTGAATGCTGAGTTCAGTTTGGAAATGTTACTCTTGATGTGTCAGGGGACACATCCAGATAGAGATATTGAAAGGAAACTGGAAATAAGGGACTAAGCCAAGGGAAAGAGTGGGCTGGAGATGAAGGTGTGGGTTACTGGAGTAGAGAGTAGAGTTTATTCTAATTACTTTGTAAATATCGCTACAAAGTTTTACAACACCTTTGAGATTTTTCCATTTTCACAAAGAAAATCAGTTTTTACAAGGAGAAAATCAATCATTCATTTAAAAACTTATGCATTTTAGAGCATCAAAGGTTGTTTTACCTCCTCTACAGAGTTCCTTGGAGAATAAAAAAGTCACACATTGTGTGTGTGTGTGTGTGTCTGCGTGCGTGTGCACGTGCAGGTGTGCTCAGAGTCTTTTGCCTTTTTAACCTTCTCCTTACTTTTTTTCTTCATGTTTTTTTGACTTCCTTTTCGGCAAATGTTAAGACTTGGGATTGGGTTTATTTTGCCTACCCTTGCTACCGATTTCAATCACTACTTCAGATTATGGATGCCTTTGAATAATAATGTAAATATAGAAATTATGCATATATAAAAATCTGCTAATCAGGATTCCAAACGTTTTAGCTAGTAGACGCATAAGAAATGACAGTGGTTTTATGAGAGGTAAAAAAAAAAAGTGGTAGAAAGCATATTTTTTAAATGCCAGAATTTCTTAGGAAAAGATCAAATGTAACAAAACCCTAATATAAACATTGCAATTTTTAGAACTTCACTTCTTATGTCACATTCATGTGCTGTGCTAAGCTAAAGCTTATCATTGTTGGATTACAGAAAATATTTTTAATAAACACTATCAATAATTGCAAACTCAGGAACTCTTATCTTTCGATCACTCAGACCTTTGTGGAGGTTTGTGGTTAGAAGTCTGAGTTACGGAGAATAAAGCGAAATTGCTGATCGGTCTAATATCCCCTTCACTGTGTGGGTTTTCTAAGTGTTTTTGCTAAAAGATTTTCAACCAGGCATAATACAATTGCTTATAAAGAGTCCTGGCAGGATGGGTTCTATCAAGACAATCTTACACTGAAGAAATGAAATAGTTTAGACGTAAAAGAATCAATTTGTAAATAAACTTCTGAATCATAATGCGATTCTCAGCTGAATGACCCTTTTCTTCAGAGATTTTTTCTTAACAGCTCCCCCCAAAGAATATGCAAATGCTTTTATCTTTTAAAAATTTTGAAGATCTAAAGAAATCATCTGATATAAACATTCTGATTTTACTCTTGAAACCTTAGTCTACTGATATCAACAGTAATGTTATAAAAATCATAGCAGCAGTTAACAGGTTTGAACCTCTATTGGAAAGATTGCACCCTTTAGACATGGTAGTCAATGTGATTAAGATATAGCAGCTATTTTCCA